ATACTCTAGGGACAGGAGGTCTTGATTAATCTCGCGATTAAATTTTAGCTATTTCATTTACTGTCCGACTCGAACCGCGGGTGTTAGGGTAAACCGCGTATGTCGATTTCAGAACTCAAGACACGCTAACTCAAAATACGGGTCCGGGCNGGAGATGTCAACACGCCGAGAGTCGAAGGTCTAAACGGCACGATAATATTCCCAAAACGATAAGACGCGTGAATAATAATATTCTCGGTACNAAAACAAAGGTCGAGCTCAGCATTCAATTCGGTTAAATTCAAAATATACCTCGAAGGACCGCGATCAGCCGTCAATATCAACCAAAAAGCCGAATAATATTCGAGGAATATAAACAAGTGATAACAACAAGGTCAACTCGCACTCGTAAACACGACTTTANAATCCGTCGTTCGTCGGCAAAATTCGAGAAGCGATTTCTTAATTGGCAGCGGCAATAATCGAGTTTATAATATTCTCTGGTTCCCCGAAATATCGAATTAATCAAGATACGAGAGGAAATTAACAAAAGAAACACCTTTACGGAAAACGGCGCATATAAAAAAAATAACGTAAATGTGATCAACGAATCTATACTAAACGTGATAATCTAGCCGCAATAAGAAATATTCAAAGCATCAAATAGTCGTTCTCGCTAACCGATCTTAGTATCGATAATAAAAACAGAACTTGAGTATCCTACCGTCCTAACAATATCCTTGTTTATTTTTCAGCCGGATCGCTATCAGAAACCTTCTCTGATCGATCAACGGCTCTTGCTAGTAGCGGGACNAAATTATATGATACGAAACGTACGACGTTATTTAAACAACTTTGATTCGTCACANGTAACTGAATTAACAGTAATCGAACGACACAGTCTCACCGAAACGAAAGAGAAGAAGAAAAAGAAAACATTNAAAAAAATTTTGTTGCCAAATGAAAATAATACTGAGATATAAGAAACTTGTCGGCGAAAATAAAAAAAAATGATAGCGTTCGATACGCGACTCGAAAGCAGCCGTTACTTGCAGATATTCGGTCAATTATTTGCTCACGGGCGTAAAGATGTATTTCCCGCGATTATTTTTCCCCAACCGTATCTATTTCTAGCGATNGTTACGATATTTCTCCGTTTGCCTAACGTGGCCCCACGTTGGGCGCCAAATTTTCTTCCTGTAACGTTTTTCGCGGCGGTAACGCAATTATCGGGCCGCTCCCTCGCAAACGNAGATTACTTCCCGAGACTTAGGTGAGCGTCCGCGAGAGGACAACGTCCAATCACTGGCAGGACAGAAAAGATGGCCCGGAACGAGCACCGCCTGGTCGAGTCAACGAATACTTGGGTGTCGTTTTGGGCGCCAGACGCGGAGTCGCGTCAAAAATCAGCGTCACTCGGCACGACAAGCCGACTAGCTCTTTTCGGAACGGAGAGGGGCGGGGTTTAGCAAAAATTCGGAATACAGGTTGTCCCTTGATCTCGCGATAAGAAGCTCAAATAAAGGAAAGAGAGTTGTAATTAATCAGCACAAATTAATAGTTAATTGACAGTTTATTACGCGCGTTGAAGAGCAAAAATAATANAAAAAAAATAATATAAGAAAAAGTAGAAAGAAAAGATTGGTTACAAAATGATAAGAAACCAAAGATAACAGGAGTGATAATAAAGGAAAAAAATATGTAAGAAATGTGAAACAGAGAAATGCATAAGCTACTGCGGTAGCATTCGAAAATAATACAAACAAAAAGGAGACACGGAGTCCACGACGACTTACAATAATTAACAAACCGTGTCACGCGAGTTAACAAGACAAATTAATGGATCGAAACGATACCGCAAAAGTACCGGACGCGATACGGTACTAGAGGATTCCAGCCGAAAGATAACAAGCGCAGGCACTAAAATCTAGCAATCGCGGGGCGCAAAGCTAGAGGCAGGGCGCAAAGCTAGAGGCTAAACAGCTAGAGAGTGCAAGCAGATGTGCAGGGCAAACACTAAGCCGCAATAAAATAGCGTGCAGTCGCNTTTTTGCAAGCCGTGGATCAACCCGGACTTACTTNTTACGTTGAGGATCGCAATTTGGTCGACTGGCTCACTCTGCCGCGCAGTTTTCGCCGGTTTCNTGTCGCTAGGCCCAAAAGATTCAATCAAGCCGATTTCTCAATATACGCGCATGCACTCGAAAGAAAATACTCGCGATACAGAGCGAANGAGGTGCGACGTCGGAGTGGCTTTTCCCGATTGTTTATCACAAAATGATTAGAAACGCTCTTTATCTTGGCGTCAGGAAAACCGGCGATACGATACGTTANTCGACCGCGAATAATCCCGGACAACTTATACGCTCAAAAGGCGACACGCATTCACCGTACGCTCGCTAATAGTTCGGCAATAATTGTCCTGAAAATTTACCATCCAAAACTGTCGTTAATCCCCACGTTAATTCGGCACCATATTCCTTACCGATCACCACCGTTTCCGACTCGCACACACCTGACTCTAGCCGATCGCACGAGAAAAATCCANTTTNGTCTTGACGATTTCTTACCGCGGCGGCTGATTGCCGTCGGTAGACGAGATCCGACAATACGCAAGCGATACGTTTCAACAATCACGGCACGCGCACACGACTACGCTCGCTAGACAAACAAAACAAAAAAAATTGAAAAAGACGGACACAAATAACGCGAATAGGCTACTTGGCGCCGGATCGCCACTCCAGGGCTTGACTTAGGTTCGCGAAAGTACAATGAAACATGCACTTAACCTACGAATCTACAACTACGGCTACGAAGCCCTATGAAGCCCGATTCTGGCCGCTGTCGAAAATTAATCGTGAACACGGCCCAGGATACGTCCTTGCCGTCACAAACCAAACGCGAGAAGCAAGCGACCAGCCTCGACACGAGGCCTGTGCAACGCGGATTCGTGGCTAACAGAACTAAAACGGGCACCTCACCGTCGTCGGTTGCTCTCCGGCATGTCCGGTCTTCTCCGTCCAAATTAACTCGTCTGCTTCCCTTGAATCCGCCGGGGTCACCTTCTCGACGAGAATCACTTCGCCTTCAGTTCAAAATCGCGGTACGGCAAACTACGTAGACGGCACGGAAGATTCGCGTACGTACGGGAGCCCGAAAATATGCGTGTGTCTCGCACAGCTGTTCGCGACCAAGAGCCAGAAGATTTTGTTTGATAAGCGGTCGATACCCCGTGTAGCGCTAAGGTCGCGCGGGGTAGGTCGCGGGGCCAATCAGGTCGCAGGATTAGCGGCGCGGCTCGCAAGCTCGCTCGCAGGCGGCAGGATCAGCGGGACGCAAAATTTGAACGCTCGCAGTGTCTATAACTAGTTTACAGCAGCATAAGTAAAGCAGCAAGCAGCGGGGCGGGATAGCAATCCAAGGGATGCAGCAATGAGATAAGCAGCGGGTCCTGGAAACCCTGCAGCAGGATGGCAGGAACACCGCACGTCTCAGCGTAGGCCGGCTCGTTGATGGTTCGTTCCGCCGTTCCGCCCGTTCCGCTAGGCTAAAGCGCCGAGGTTCCGCTGTGGCCCTCTGTCTGCAGTCACCTACCCTGGCTCTCCACGTGACCGGGAAGTGAGACTTTGCGCCTCAGTTCCGCTCTCTCTCTCTCTCTCGTTCGGGCACCGCTGTTGTCCTTGACGAAAAGTCCCTCGATGTTTTCATGACGGTGAAGCGCCGCAATTACATATAATACAAAAATAAAAATAAAAGACTATTCTAAGCAAATGCATGCAAGCCCTGGAGGATCTTGACGCTCGTTTTTCAGCTCGTTTTCTCGGGCTCCCGCGAAATCTTTTAACTTTTGTGACGGGGAAAGAGCGGCGCGAATACCACGTCACAATGTATATTATTGTATTNTATTAGGTTTGTTCTTCTTGTTTACACCAAATGTGTAAAGTGTACACCGTACACTTTTCATAGAATACACTTTTTAGGAGTGGGAGAAAAATTGTGTAAAGTTTAGGCTTTGCAAGAAAAACGCCAAAGTGTAACATATACGTGAGTGTAACGTTGGCATTCTGCAGCCATTTGCCATTTGTGTTTATGTTTGGAGCTGTGGTAAACAAGTAAAATTGAATTTTTTAAAAATTTTTCAGTAGTATTACGATTGTTATAAAATGGATAAAATAAATGTAGAAATTCTTGGCCACCTTTTGGAGTCTGAGTCTGACTTGTCATCTGATGAAGAGGATTATGACGAAGTCGTTCCTGTATCACCTGTTGTATTTGCAAATAATGGTAAGAAATGTAGTAGCGACAGTTAAATGATTCTTGACTTATTAGTAATGTAGGTACATGTTTATTTACTCTTTGCTTAAAATGTATAGTTTAACTTGAAAGCATTGTTGTTTAGATGGAGACGTTGAGCAACTAGTAGAACCAGTATTAGAAGTTGTTTAAAGAGTACAACGCGTGAAAATGCTCAATTATATTAAGAATGTTGTAAGTCAATACATTGAGAGTGATTTCACAATGCACTTCCGCTTATCTCGAGAAGTGACTTATGAGTTAATCGGTCGTTTTGCAACATCTCTAACATTTGTGGCATTACAAGGTTTGTTATATCATAATTATAAGCTCTGCATACATAATATTAATTATAAATACATGTAGTGCAGTCACATTTTATAATATTGTAGTGTATTTATTTATATGTACGTTATTACAACTCATGCCGGATATGAGCCTATTTTTCCAGAGAAACATATTATAAGTTTTTTTTGGTATGTTGGACATGAAAGCGCTGGCTATCGAGATGTGGCCGATAGATTTGGAATTACTATAAGTGCGTTGTACAATGTTATATCTCGAGTCACAAATTTTTTACTGTCTCTTGCACCAAATATCATCAGATTTCCTACATTGCAAGAGAGAGAGACCACTAAACAATTTTTTCTTCAACACAAAAAATTTCCTGGAGTAATAGGTATATTTTAAAAATATTGTTTTTAAACATGTAGGATTTTGATCATTTAATTACTAATAATTTACTACAGGTGCCATAGATGGATCGCACATTAGAATAGATAAACTAATAGAAGATAAAGATTCATACATAAATAGGAAGCACTTTTTTTCTATTCAATTACAAGGCATTGTTGATCACGAACAAAAGTTTATGAATGTCATTATTGGTTACCCTGGATCGGTTCATGATGCAAAAGTTTTTAGAGAATCGCCTGTGTACAATAGCCTTAATCAACTTTGTGGAGGTTTGTAATTTTTCTTCAACAATATCCAAATGTATAGTCGGATGCTACCGTAAAGAATTTCAATGATTTCCGCAATATACTAGAACTTTGTTTATTTTCCGCTCTTGGAACGTGAACTATTTATTTATTTTTCGTTTGGAAGGGCTCTTCACTACTCTTGCAGAATAAAGGTGGATTTAAATTAAACGGCTAAAGTAATTGGCTGCTGCATTATATATGTAAATGCGCAAGTTTTGTTTGTTCATTTCGTCAAGTGCAAAAGTGAGAGTAGGAGTTGTAAAGGTAACTGAGTTAAAAAAGCTGAATTAAAAAATAGTCGAGTGATTCCGCAGAAAATAAGTGAATGGGAAAGTACAT